GTGGCCCGGGCCGCCGGCGCTTCCCGCAGGCGCTCATCGTGGGCGTGAAGAAGGGCGGCACGCGCGCCCTGCTGGAGTTCCTGCGGCTTCACCCCGACGTCCGCGCGCTCGGCTCCGAGCCCCACTTCTTCGACAGGTGCTACGAGCGCGGTCTCGCCTGGTACCGGTGAGCGCCCGGGCCCGTCCGCCCCATCGGCTTCCGTGCGCGCTCTGGCGGATGTCTCCCAGGAGAGCTTGGTGCGCCCCTGGGGTATCACTGGAGACGCGGCGGGGCGAGGTCTTTGGGTATCCGGGCTGAGACCAGCCTGGGTGGGGGCTGAGGCTTGACTCCGAGGACGCAGCCCCCCTGCAGAGGGTTTTGCGGAAAGGAGGCGGGGTCACTGGCTGAGGGCTCCCAGAAACTTTGAAAACTTCAGGGAAAGCTCTGGTTTGGGGCTGCTGAGGGGTCTCAGCAAGCTGGAGGGGAGGGGGTGCGATCGCAGCTGAGAAGTGGTTTCAAGCCGGTGGGATTTGAGGAGCGTTAGAAATGCTTCCTGCTCAGTCTCCCTACTCCGCTGGATCACTCGGGTCCAGCACGTCTGACCTCTGACCAGTTACCCTGCAGGGAGCCTCCAGGTTCCCTGCAGCCTCCTAGAAAGTGTCTGCTCCTCCCCACCCAACCCGACCCCTGATCCCGGGAAGAGGAATCCTTGGTGGTCCTAGGGGTCTGGAGAGAGTCTGGGTTCTAGAAAGGAGGAAGGTGCCTTTGAGTCAGTGCCCAGGGGTGGGAATTGGTACCCCAGTCTCATGTCATGGGGCTCTGTAGCTGTCCTGCCCCAACCTGGGATGGCCTTGGGGTCTGTGGTGGAATGTGGGGGAGCACCCAGCTCCAGCTGCAGCAGCCTGTTCTGGCGTCTGGTCATACCCTAGCCCCTCCCTGCTGAGGTGAGCACCGAAGGCCCCAGTGCCCCGCCTGCTGTGCACAAGCCCTCCACCGTGCCCTGTCCATTCCTGCGGGAAAAGGAGGGCTTACGGTGGAGAGTGAGTCACCCCACTCCTCACAGCTCTTGCCTCATCCCCAAGGTTGGGCTGAGCCCCTACAGGGCAGAGAGGACCCTGCCCACGATCACCAGGTGAATTAGTGGGGGTGGGGGGTGGCAGGACCCAGACCCTTGACCTCCAGGTGCTCCACTTTCTCTGTTCCCAGATTCCTCTCCACCCCCACACTCACGCGTTAGCTTTGCCTTTTGCATTAAAACCACTCCCCGGTTTGGAGGGGTCCCAGTGAGAACAGGGGGTCCTGGCTCCTGAGCTCTGAAGAATTGCTGCTGTCAGGGGTCCTAGGGAAATTGGGTGATGATGGGGGGGGTGAGTCCATCCTTGGACCCAACTGGTTGGATCCTGGCATCCTCAGAGCTCAGGGAGAGACCACTACCCCATTCTGACACTGCCACAGCATGCGAAAGCATCCCCAGTCCCTTGCTGCTGTGCAAAGGGGGAGGAGGAAGAGGAGACGGGGGAGGAGGAGGGGGAAGAGGGGAAGGAGGGGCAGTGGGGTGGAGGACACATTGTTAACTACAGTGCAAACTTCAAAACCCGCTGCTGACTCCAGGGCTTTGACTACAAGGAGCTGGGGGAGGCATGAGCTGGGCTAAAGAGGGCCTGCAGGGGAGGCTAGAACCCTAAAAGGGTTCTGAAAGAGTCGGGGACCCTGAGGCCCCATCTAGCCCTCCCTGGGCACATGCTCACACTCTGGGGGGCTGGTCTGGGGAGGATGAGGGGACTGAGAGGCAGGAGGGCTGGACCCAGACTGGGAGTCAGATGCTCAGCTCTGGGGAGGGGTTCTTGGCACACTGTGGAGACAGGAGTGGGGGGAATTCAGGAGCGTGCTTAACTCTGGTAGAAAAGAGATTTTCTCCTTCCACATTTTTAAAGCCACCTCCCCTGGGAGAAGGGGTGGATACAGAAGGTGCAGATCCCAGTGGCCTCTATCCCATTAATCCAGAGCTGACCCCTCCAGGCTGTTGCAGAGTGAGCGGGAGGGGTGCTGGCTGAGCTGGAGTGCATGTGTCCAAGTGCCCTTGAAGGGACCACAGCATGTGCTGACATGCAGTCATGGGCTGGATGTGCTCATAGGTGCCCTGTGCCTCTGGACTTGTCTGTCCTTCCAGCCAGCTATGAGTGTGCAGTGAACTTCTGAAAATGCCCACCCCTGCCTCAGTTTCCCCTGCTGCAAAGAGGGTGCCCAGCCTCCGGCAAGGTCTGGCGGCATTGTCTGCTCTCCGACCCCGGGCTGGGCCTCCAGCGAGTGCAGAGCCCTCTTCTGGGTGGGGGTTGGGGTGGTGAGTAGAGGAGGAGAGGCCAGTGCCCCTGGTTGTTTCTGGGATACCCGTTCCCACTGGGCTGTGGTGGACCTCATTCCAGGCAGTGCCTCTGGCCCTTCCCGTGGCCTCGGCAGGTAGGTCCTGGGCTGTTCAAGGTTGACCTTGGCCATACTGTTCTCGCTTCCCCAGGCCTCAGTTAGCTCATCTCTCAGGCTCTTGTGAGTCCTCCGTCCTGGGGACTGTGACCCCCAAGTGCCCCACACTCAAAACGCATTTGTTCACCTAGTCACTCACTGAGCACCTCCTGTTTGGCAGGTGCTGGAGTACACAGACAAACACCCCAAAGTCTCATGTCCCGAGGGGGTGCCCCGTCTAGGGACAGGTGGAGACTATACTTGACCGTAGTATTTTGGAAAACCGAAAGGAGACGGGAGGGATGCAGGTGGGAGAAGCCCCTGGCTCCTGGGGCAGGAGTGGTGAAGGTAGGGAGTGGGGGCGTGAGTATGTGGTGGGGGGGACCTGGGCTTCTGTGGGACTTTTCTCCCCGTGCTAACCCCAGGAGAGGCTCACGAAGTGACTCGATGCCCCCACCCCTACCCCCAGCACTGTATGTTTCCACCCAGGAACTGGTTTCTGCTGGGTCCCAGGCCTGGCTGGGTGGGGCCCAGGCGAGTTGTGGGACACGGAGCGGGGCTGAGTGGAGGAGGGAGAGTCGGCTAGGGCTGGATGGAAGCCGCAGGGAAATGCAGACCAGATGAGCAGGGAGGGAGGGTCCGCGGCACAGCCTGTCAGATGTTTGCTGCGTGGGGGTCAGAGTCCTGTTCCTCTCATTCTCTCCCCAGGCTCTCCCACGCCCAAAAGCCCCCTCCTCACCCTCCTCCAGGCCCAGCCGAACCGGCTTCTGAGGCCTGGGGAGGGTAAGTAATTGATTCCAAAGAGTTCAGATCTCAAAGCGGAGGTGTGGCGAGCATGGGCCTCGAGAGTGCATCCCCCTCCCCAGTCCCCTCCCCTTCCGTGGTGGGTCGGAGGCACCTCCCCCCTGCTCCCCTGCCTTCCTTGGAGAGAAAGCAGCCTGGGTGCTAACTCCCTTTGCCCCTTGTCTGTTTCCCTGCAGCCCTCTCCCCCCAGGCCGGAGTGAAGGGGTGTGGACACTCAGAACCAGTGGTGCCCGGTCTGTGCTCCTGGGGTCACCTGGTGCTGGGGGAAGAAAGGGATGGAAAGGGGTGTCAAAGATGGAGAGGAGGGGTGGCGGAGCAATCAGGGCTGGTTTCTTCCCCAAGGAGGGTGATGAAGGGGGGGCTCTGACTTCTGAAGAGGCCTGCCTCCGGCTCCTCTTGGTGGGTCTCAGCAGCGAGAGCCAGTGTGGGGAGACACCCCTTCTTACGACTTCCCTCACCTGAAAACGGTGGGGGGGTCCCCTGAGCTGGCCACCCCAGGCTGCAGCCCTGGGCCTCAGCCCTTGGTGTTGTCGCCACCCAAGGTCTCTTTGAACTCATCCCCGGGGAGGGCTGGGTGCCGTTCCCACCTGGATTCCCAGCTGCACGAGGCATGGCGTTGGGTGCAGGGGCTCTGGGAGCAGAATTCAAGCCGACACCCCCCCTTCCAGCAGCTGCAGCCCAGAGAGGGAAGGCTGTGGGCCAACGTCTGCCCCAGCACTTCCTGCTCCCTCTCTGAGCCTCAGTGTGCCTGCCTATCCAATGGGACAGTGAATGGAGTGGGGGGAGTTCCAGCTCGCTCTGTCTTCCCCAATGCTGGGGGAAGCAGAATTGTCCCCCATGACTTCTGTAAACCAGCTCTGCCCAGGGCCTTGTTCTGAGGGCTGGGGGAAGCTCCCATAGCCAGCAGACCAAGTAGCCCACCCGACTCCCTAGAGCCCCACGTGGTGTCGGGGGAGCCACTCGCATGCCTGGGACTCACATATGCACATCCTCCTGTCCCGCCACCAGCACCCTCCAAGCCAGGCACCCCAACTTGTGGATCTGTCCACGCAGCCTGAGTTTCGTTGGGGGTCTTAGCAGGAAGAGGAGCCTGGGGCCCTGCCTCCCAGGAACTTGAGTCTGGGGGTCACTTGGGCTGGATGAAACCTGAACTCTGGCCTGTGTGTCACCCTCCTGGCGGGCCCAGTCTGAGGGGCTGTTTGCGGAGGCGGGGCAGCTCCCTCAGAGGATGGGAGGCAAGGCTGGCTGGGCAGAGACCTCTCCTCCCTATCACAGGTCCCAACAGCCTCTGCCTCTATTGACCTAGTTCCCAGTCCTCCCTAGGAGCTGTTTGCTCAGCTGGCCCGCCGCACCCTGCCCCACCTCACCCTGCACTACCTGGCTGGCAGGTGCGGTCTTAGGATATGGCGCAGGGTACCTGGCCTGCCCAGGCGGGGTGCTCCAGATGGGCTTCCCAGGTTTGGGGCGGTCAGGGAACTGTCACCAGCTGACTTCCCCAGAACCTTGAGATGGGGACAGTGCAGCCCCCCGGTCAGAAGGAGGACTCATCAGAAATGCTGCAGCTGCAGCCTTGCCCCCTGGGGTCTGAGCTGGGCCTGGGAGGCCCTGGGTGGCTGGGGTCCTGGGCTGGGGTCTTCAGGTAATGTGCTGGGCTGTGCTGGTGGCTTTCAGCATTCTGATCAGGCTCAGGCCTATGAGAATTAACAGGGCTGTAATCAAAGGCAGGGAGAGGCTATGCAGGGGAGGGAGAGGAAGGTTGCTGCCCTTTGTTGGGGACACTTGTCAATAATTAATGGCCTAGTTTAGGGGACGCCATCAGCCACTTAGTGAAAGCATGACCTGGGGTAATTACAGTGTGGGGGTCTGCGGGGTGGGGAAGGCGGGCGAGCCCTGTGGGTGGCAAGTCCAGGCCTCCGGCCTCATGGGTGCTTGTTCTGCGGTGAGGGGTGCAGCAGTGTCAGGGGTGGGGTGCAGTGCAGCTCTGCAAGGAGGGGCGAGGGGCAGCCTGGCAGGATGGGCCCCCGCAGTGGCCTGTGCTGGGCTGGTGCCCTCACAGCCCACATCCCAGGCTGCCCACCCAAGCCAAGCCCACCTGCAGATTGGGGCTTCCCCGGAGGAGGGGATGTTAGTTGCCAGTCTGTGGGGGCCAGGCTAGAGTGAAAGGCTCGAGGGGGGCCGGCACCTGCTCACGGCCACCTCCCCTGCCACCGTTCACGCAGGAACCTGATGCCGCGCACCCTGGACGGGCAGATTACCATGGAGAAGACCCCCAGCTACTTCGTGACCCGGGAGGCCCCTCGCCGCATCCACGGCATGTCCCCGGACACGAAGCTGATCGTGGTGGTGCGGAACCCTGTGACTCGGGCCATCTCCGACTACGCCCAGACGCTTTCCAAGACCCCGGGCCTACCCAGCTTCCGTGCCCTGGCCTTTCGCCAGGGCCTGGGCCCGGTGGACACGGCCTGGAGTGCTGTGCGCATTGGCCTCTATGCCCAGCACCTGGACAACTGGCTGCGCTACTTCCCCCTGTCCCGCTTCCTGTTTGTCAGCGGGGAGCGCCTGGTCAGCGACCCGGCTGGAGAGGTGGGCCGCGTGCAGGACTTCCTGGGCCTCAAGCGGGTCGTTACAGACAAGCACTTCTACTTCAATGCCACCAAGGGCTTCCCCTGCCTCAAGAAGGCCCAGGGGAGCCGCAGCCCCCGCTGCCTGGGCAGGTCCAAGGGCCGGCCCCACCCCCACGTGCCCGAGGCCGTGGTCCAGCGCCTGCGGGACTTCTACCGGCCCTTCAACCGCAAGTTCTACCAGATGACCGGCCAGGACTTCGGCTGGGACTGACGGGGCCAGGCCAGCCCACCTCCTGCCTGGGGAACGCTCGGTGACCTTAATTTATGCCTGCGGCCCGGCCAGAGCAGGCTGCGTACACGTGTTGGGTAGAGAGAAATATTTAAGAAGTAAAGTTTGGATCTGTGTTCTTCCACAGGACCTTGAGCCTGGAGAGTGAGGGCTGGAGGTACCACTGCCCAGGGAAATGATAATCATACCAGCTAACTCTGCTGGGCACTGTCCATGTGCCAGGAGTGGTCCAAAACCCGATCCTCATACATCCCTCGAGGTGTGCAGTGAGCCTGGCCACATGTCATAGATGAGCAACTGAGGCTCAGAGAGGTTCAGGGCCTGTCCAGTGACACACAGCTTAGCCCTGGGAACTCTGAAGGCCATCCTCAGGCTCTCTTCTCAGCCCTGGGATGCTGAGCTGGGCTGTCCCCATGTTCCGGATGAGGAAACTGAGGCCCCAGGTTGCCCACCTCAGTGTTGAGGCAGGATTAAAGCTGAGTCTGTTCAACTCTTCTGGCTGTACCCATGACCTTAGCTAATTCTCTGTCCTAGCGCCCAGTGGACTCTCCCTCCTGGAAACCTGGTGGAATTGCGGGACAGTGAGTGTGAGGTGACTGGTATGTGCAGGGGGTGGTGCCTCTAACAGCCTCCACGCAGCTGCCTGCACAGCCCTGCACCACCTACCCAGGCACTTCCCACCACAGGCCTCACCCAACAGGTAATGCCCTGGCCAGGGCTCCACCTGCCAGGCCCCACCCACCCACAGGGCACGCCTACTCAATGCCCTCCTCTCCCCCCCATGGCCCCAGGCCCTTGATGCCCCAGTTCTGCTGTGTTTTTCCGGCTCCCTCCCCTGGGGATGGGCAGGAATGAATGCCCATCTGCAGCCCAGCTGCCTGCTCAGCTCCTAACTCAGGCCCTGGTTCTCTGTCCACCCCTCTCCCCCAGGGAATGTGGGGCCCCCTCAGTAATGACTGTCACTTGCTCCTGGCCACAGTGCTGTCTGCCAGGTGCCCACCAGCTGCCCTGGACAATGACCTCCAGGGCCCCTTAGGCCCAGGCCTGGTGTGCCCTGGCTGCCCTGGCCCTTGAAGGACCTGGCCACAGCCTCTGCACCCTAGGCCTTGGGTCCATGTCAGATCCTTGGCCCTGATGTGGCCTGTCCACCCCTGGGCAGCTTGGAGCTGCTCCCTGTCCTCGGCCCCTGGGAGGATTCTCAGGGAAGTGGCCACTTGTCAGTCACTGCCCCCCTCTCTGGCTGACTGTGAGCCGGTGGCCCCACCATTCACCGTGGCCACTTTCTTTGTCACATGACCCCACCAGTGGTGTGGATATGGGGTCAGCTGATGTCGGTGTGTGAGAAGAGGCTCAGCAGGAGGTGGGGAGGGAGACGGGGGCGTCTGTCTCCAGCAGCCGGGAGACCTGCCTCTTGCTCCTGCTGGTTCCGAGCCCAGAGGACACTCCCGTCTGGTGCTGCCCTGAGGGGCCAGCACTGCCATCCAGGCCAGGCCAGGGGCAGGGCTGGGAGCTGGTCCTGAGCGACCTTGGTGGAAACATGCGGCAGATGTGGTTGAGATGTACATTGAGGCTCCTCCCCAACTCGGCCCTCTGTGGTGGGCGGAGGGGAGGGCCGGCCCGGTTTACAGTGACGATGGCGATGGCGAGGAAGGGACGCACTCCTCTTTGGAATCCCTGCTGGGGGGCGAGCACAGGGCTTGGCAGCTCTGTCCCCATTCTCTGTGTGGGGGCCTCCCTTAGGGATGGCAGGGCAGCCCCACTGGGTGGCAGGGGCAGGAGGAAGGCAGGACAGACCCTGACCCCTGGCCTAGTTCCCAGCCTGGGCCATGCATGTTTCTTCTCCCTGGACACACCCTTGTCCAAACATCCACCGTCTCTGCCTAGATGGTTTCAGGGCGTCTCTTTTGTCCTGCAGTGAGCTCTCCGCGTGCACACAAGCACGGCAGCAGAGCAGTGTCTTCGGAGTAAGCCAGATCTCATTATTTTAGAACACTCCAATCTTCTCCCCCCATCCCATTGCTTCTAGAATTAAGACCAGATACCTGACCACAGCTGTTAAGGCCCTCTGAGGCGTGCCCCTGCGCCCCAACCTGCACGCTCCTCTCACCCCTAGCTTCTGCCCCGTGAGCTCCTTCCACCTACCATGATCTTACCGACCTCCTAGCCTTTGAACATGCTGTTCCCACTGCTTGGAATGCCTTTCCCTGCAGAAGGTACAGACTGAGAGGGAGGCAGCCTTAGGATGAGGCAGCTGTGCTCTCACTCCAGGCTCATTTTCTCCCTGCACTTAGAGTCCCTTTCCTGAGCTCGCCAACATGACCCACTTTTCCCTTCCTGAAGCTTCTTGGATGCACAGCTGCGGGGGCCACAGTTTGTCTGGCTTTGGGGTCCAGGCCCAGCTCAGAAGGCAGACTATGGAAGCAGAGAGGAGAAAGGGTGAACTGGCTTGTTGTGCTCAGCCCCTCCCAGTGGAAACTGGGCCTGACCGCCAGTGCCAGGTGCCCAGCTGGGCCTCAGAACACACTGAGGGCAGATGTGGTGGGTCCTCCCAGCTGTGTGTGGGGGTGGGGCTCCGTGGGAGAGTCATCCGCCTTTAATTAAAGTCCCTAAATTGCTTCCCCAGCTGCTCAGTGGGTTTTCCATGTTAGAATGTTCCAGGTGGGGCAAGAAGTGCTGATTCAATTACTCTCTTCCTGTTCTGCCCAGTGGAGGAGAGGGGGCCAGAGACCCCTTCTCCACCCCTCCAAGCCCAACCAGACTGGGATGGGCTGGGTTTGGGTGGGGGTCCTCACAGTGCTAGGTGTCCAGGAAGGGGCTTGGAGACTCCTGGGGAGGTGGCTGCTTCTACCTGGGGGTCCTCACCCACCCCAGACCTTCTGGCCATTGTTGGCACAGGCCTGGGGCCCACGAGGCCCTTCCGCTCTGCCCACGAGGACGGGCAGGAGCGTCTGGGTGAGGACCGTGTCCTCCACTCTGGGCCCTGCACACGCAGGTACTGGAAACCCTGAGCAGACCCTGGCACAGCGGCCCCCATATCAAGCTGGAGACAGGGGAGACCTCAGGACCTGGATCCACCCTTCACAGTGGCCCAAAAGTACTTCCCTATCGTGAATCTTCATTCTAGATGAGGAGAGGAGACACGGAAGGTGCCAGTGGCTTGCCCAGTCCCCCTTACCACCGCGAGCCCATTGCCATTCCCTGGGGGAGGCTCCCGGAGCCTGCGGGTCCTGGGAGCACAGCTCTGGATCCCCTCTGGGCCCTGGAAGCTGTGCAGTGGAGGGGCTGGGGATTTGCTGCCATCATGAGCCCAGTGGCTCATTTCTGTGGGACTTTCCCTTTCTAGAAGTTTCCTTTTAAGTTGGCAAGGGCTGACTCCTGAGGACTGTCTCCTCGGAACTAATGCCCAGGCAGTGGGGTGGGGTGGGAGGATTGGGGAGAGGGTCAGGGGAAGGGAGTGAGTCAGGGGTGGCCTCGGGACCTGAGGAACCCGTTTCATCCACCTTAGCCCTGGGGCCAGCCTTGGGGCCGCCCGGTCATGGCCATAGCCAGGCCTCCCCCTGTTGCAGGCAGCCTCCCACTCCTGCACCCTGGAGCCCTTGTGCTCCTCCCTGGGGCTCTCCAGTTCTGAACTCGCTTTTTCTCTATTTCCTGCACATCCACCTTATTCTCACAGCCGCTCGTCAGCTCCCCGAGGAGAGGGACCACCCTCCAAGTAACCACAGAAGCATAGCAGTACCTACAAAAGCACCAGGGCACCCAGACGAGGGGACGAGGGGATGAGGCAGTTAGCGACGGGGGGGCTTCCCTGAGAGAAGACGGCTTACCTGCACCCTGAAGGGGGCCAGCCACACCAGGGCGGGGGCAGCAGATGCCTGACAAGGTGGGAGGCAGACAGACTGTGGTCATGATGGAGGGCCAGTTAAGACAAACTGTGACTGTAAAATAGGCCCTCCGTGTTTAAACGGTTGTGCAAATAAAAACTTGTACAACAATGTTCACGGCAGTATTATTTACAGTAGCCAAAAGGTGGAAACAACCCACTGTCCATCATGAGTGAATGACAAACAAAATGTGGTCTCTCCATATGATGGAATATTATTCACCCATAAAAAGGAACGAAGTACTGATACATGCTACAACGTTAGCATCCTTGAAAAAATGCTAAGTGAGAACACAGACATGAAAAGTCACATATCGTTGATGCCATTGATATGAAATCTCCAGAAAAGGCAAATCCATGTAGATAGGAAGCAAACGGGTGGTTACAAGGGATGGGGTGGAGGGAATGGAGTGAGGGGTGAGTGCTTAGTGGGCACTGGGTTTCCTTCTGGGGATGAAAATGTCATGGGACCAGATAGAGGTGGTGGTTGCACAACCTTGTGAATGCACTAAATGCCACTGAATAACTCACTTTAGAATGGTTAATTTTGTTATGTGAATTTCACCTCAATTTAAAAACAAAGGACTTCCATAGAAAAGTCAGCGGTGGAAGGACGGGTCAGAGAGAGAAGGTTCTCGGAGATCTTTATTTGTTGTTGTGAAGGATTCATTAAGGGATGCTGACTGCAGATACAACAGGATGGAAGTTATGGGGGATGGGTCAGGGGGCGTAAGGGTGAGCCTTCTTCCCCTGAAGAGGCGGCTCTGCTCTTGGGAGCGCACACTGTTCCCAGCCCTGTGCGATTCCTGAGGGCTGGTCCTTCTGCTCCTTTCGGGTGGTTCCTGCCCCAGGCTCGGTTTCCCCGACACCTGCACCCCTCAGTCCTTGGCTGAAGATTCAAGGGGGACCCTCCGCAGACCTCAAGCTCACTCCGCGTGTGGCTCTCTCTTCTCCAGGGTCCCACAGATTCCAGCTGCCCTGGTCCCTGGATGCTCAGCTCTGGTTCTTCATCGCAGGGAGTCGGCCAGCTGCCTCAGCTCCCCTCCCTGCACCGGGGCCTGGAAGCTGTCTCCGGGCACAAGCTGGGGCGGTCGGAGGACTCCCCTCCTGTTTCCCACCTCCCGGCGACGCTGTCCTGTGCTGCCCACTGTCCACTGTCTGAAAACCACAGTTTGGTAGGCTTTGTCTCGTTTCTCGCTTGTTTCAAGCGGATCGGTAAATCCACTCCCTGTCACTCTAACTCGGCCCCATGTGGAGACTTTTACATTAGAGAGTAAATGATCTTTTTTATTAGAGACTATGTTATCCTAAAAAAAGAAGTGGAGCAGGGCCTGCTTCGTGCCCTGGCTGTGCTCTGACCCTGCTGTTAGCAGGGAATGGAACATGTCCCCTCCAAGGATCCTCCAGGATGGACAGGGCTGGGCCCTAAAGGGCTTCCTTGGGCAAGTCTGACTGCTCTGGCCCTGGCTGGGGCTGGCTGGAGGGTGGTGCATGCCAGACCCCCCGCTGTCACCCGCCTGCCCCTCCTGATTGCTCTATCCCCATCCCAGGATGCAGGGAGGGTCCTGACAACATCTCAGGGGGGAGGTGGCC